GCCATTGTTCCAGCCTCCTGGGCTCACACTGCCTCCAGGAAGTCTTCCTAGATACCCCATTAACTGGCAGCTCTGGCTTCCCATGTGGGCACAGAATGCCCGGGAGCAGAAGCACATCAGTCAGAGGTCAGCTGTGCCACCTCGGGCAGGCTTCTCACCCTCGCTGAGCCTCCATTTCCTCCTGTCCAGTGGAGACAGGCATGGCAGCCACCTCAGTGCCAGTTACGACCCGGTGAGGCACTGCTGAGACCTGCTCTGACCTGAGGGACCAGTGATGGCAGGTGTGCTGGGTGGGATGACGGGGTCCTGAGGAATCAGCCATTGGGAGCTGGGGGGCTGGGGTGCACAGTGGGCAGAGGAGCTGGGGACAGGCAGGAAGCCTCCAGGGGCCGAAGGGAGGACGGGCAGAAAGAAAGTCCTCGGGAAAGGGGTGTGCACTGGAGCCGGTATTGTGGGACAGGAGGGCAGGCCAGGGGTGGAACTGCCTGCCCAGCGTTTAGGGGACCCCGGCTGGCCCCACCACATTGTCCTGCGGGCACCAGATGGGCCAAGCTTCCCCAAAGCCCTGGCTCAGCGGGGGAATGGGGGCAGCTTGGAGCCCTAATTTGGGGGCCATGCTTGTGTGTTGGAGGGCCACGTTGTGCTGTCCTGGGCACCACAGTTACCCCATCTAGTGAGGGTGAGCCATGAGGGGCTCACATGGACCAGGTGCTGCAGAAGGAGGCACCCTGCTGTCCTCAGGACAGAAACAGCACTGGAGGTCCCTTGGTGGGCGTTCAGTTAGAGGGTGACTTGGAAACGCCAGACTGCATGGAGGAGCTCTGCTGCCTCACCTTCTTGGGGACGGTGACATCCCTGTCCTCAGAGGCTGGACAGGTCCCGGCCCTGACCCCCAGCTGCCTGGAGCCTGGCATGTGGCCAGTGGCCAGCAGCCAGGTCCTCAGTCTCTCCCGCTTAGCGGGGCCCTGGTCTGCCTCCCAGCAGCGCCCATCCCGGGTCTCACAGCCTTTACCAGTGCCATGCCATAGCTATGGCAACGATGACAGCCCCCGGGGCCCACTCCACAGGGGTGAGTGGGCTGGCTAGTCTGAGAGAGACGTGGGAGAGGGTCCCCATAGCCCCAAGACCCTGAGCTCATGAGGGATGTCCACAACCCCGCAGAAGTGGGAGCTGAGCAGGCCTCGCCAGCTCAGCCAGCCCCTTGTCCCTTGGCAAGGCCAGTGTGGCACCCAGGGGCCGGCCATGGACTACAGGCTTGGGCCACCGTGGCCAACCCGTGTGTCCACTGGCCCTGGGCCCGGCGGCTGTGCCTCCGAGTGTGGGGTCTTGGAGCAAGGGTAAGGGTGCTGAGGCTCAGACCGCAATGGATCGGGGGCCTCAGAGCCCGGCGTGGGGATCCGGCTGGCCCCGGAGTGTGCCTGGGGGACTGGGTGCAGATGGGGGCCGGGTCGCAGAGCTGCCTTGTAACTGCTCTCTCCCTCGGCAGACGGCGCCCCGCTCAGCGAGCTCTCCTGGTCGTCCTCCCTGTCTGTGGTGGCCGTGTCCTTCTCCGGGCTCTTCACCGTCATCGCCCTCATGCTGGCCTGCCTGTGCTGTAAGAAGGGCGGCATCGGGTTCAAGGTGAGGGCTGGGGGTCGGGGGAGGCTGTGGACGAGATCCTGAGGGCTGGCCCTCTGGTGTCCACTCGGCACTGGGCTTCCTTCCCTCCTAGGGCCCTCTGGGGACCATAGAGGCTGGGACCCCACAGCCCCTCCTCTGGGGACAGCCGATGGGAGAGGCCTAGGGGCTGTCAGGGACCCCTCCCACTGCCTCCCCCATTTTGGGTCCCCCTGTTAGGGGGGCATGGCCTCACGCTGTCATGTCCCAGCTCAGGGTCAGGCCTCTGTGTGTGGTGCACCCCGGGACGGTGAGGATGGGCCTCAAGGGGGCCACGGGGGCTCCTGAGCCGCTGTGGGAGGGGTCTCTATGCCTAGGGGGTCCTTGAATCCCTGCTTGTTCGAATCAGCAAAGGGAAACCAAAGTTGCCCAGACATGCTTCCCGGCATGGAAAGCACCTCTCTGGCTGGGGTCACCTTACTTTGGGTGTCTTCTGCCCCACGAGGAAAGGATTGTGCGCCACATAGGAATCAGGGCGGTAGGACAGCAGGAGTCATCATTACTGTTTATGGAGCATCAGCCAGAAGGCTGGGCCCGCCTTCTCTCTGGCCGCCCTGGCAGGGCTAAGCTCCCGGGGTCATCCTGGGCTGGATTGCAGGGCTGAGGTGCCCCTCCTAAGGATGGTGGCCCAGAGGCATCCCTGGGGTGCTGTTCCCCAATCCTAGAAGCGCCCATGGCTGCTCCCTACCTTTAGCTGAAGCTCTGAGCATGGAGGACCAGGAGAAAAAGCTGGGAACTGAGGGGCCCAACCAGAGCCCCCCGCCAGCCCTGTGGGCTGAGTTCTGCCGACTTAGCACATAGCACCGCCTGTGGTCATTCTCCCGCCCACTGAGCCACCCCGCCCTTGGCTGGAGGTCAGATTCCCGGGCCTGGCGAGGTCAGGAGGGGAGGGGCTGTCCTGTGGCCCAGCACAGCAGCCCACCACCCCAGTCATCTCCATACTAAGTGACCCACATTGCAGCCGGGCCACCCCCATTTTAGAGAAACAGTGCCCTCCCCCTCCCCCTGGTCTGTCTCATCACAGAGGGGGCCGGGGGAGCTGGCATCTGCGCGGCACTTGCCTTTTACAAAGGTGTCTTTGCCACATTTCACGGCAGGGCCATCCAGAGCTCTCTGAGGGGTGGGCTGGTGGAGCTCAGGGCCTGGGCAGCAGGGCCATGGCCCTGGGAGCCTCGGGTCTGCATCCAAGCCCCTGCCTGGGTATCCTCATGCCTAGCCCTGTCTCCCTGGCCTGCAGGAACACAGTGGGCTGGGCCAGGCGATGCTGGCATTTTCCTGGAGGATCCTGGGGCCAGAGAAGCAAGCGGGAGGGGGAAGGGATGGGAAGGGGGAAGGGAAGGGGGATGGGAAGGGGAAGGGGGATGGGAAGGGGAAGGGGGATGGGAAGGGGAAAGGAAGGGGAGGGGAGGGGAAGGGAGGGTGGAGGGGAGGGGCAAGGAGGGAGGGGAAGGGGGGGGCCAGGGCTGGGCCTTGAGGCTATTGTATGTCAGCCCCTTCTCAGGATGCTGTGAGAACAAGGCCCCAAACAAGGGCCAGTGCGGCCCCCTCCTACCCGTGCCCTCCTCACCTCCTGGGAACATGGTGCCCGGAACATTCCAGCACCAGTGCGCCTCAGTGGGAGGGCCTGCCTGCATAGCGGGCTCCCGCCTGGGCTCTGGGGGAGCCAGTGCTGGGCTCTCCCACCTGGAGCTGTGCTGGGAGAAGGGGCTGGGCAGTGATGCTCACACTGTCCTATCTGATCACCCGCTCTGCTGGCTCCATCCGGTGGGCCTCCAGGTGGCACCGTCAGGTAACAGGCTGGGGTCAGGGCCAGACCCCGAGGTGGGTGGGTGGGCGGGCAGGCGTCTGTGCCTCTGCGGAGCTGCAGCTGGGATTACAGGGCGAGGGGGTTGGTTCTGATAGCCCCGGGGCCCAAGGGTGGTCTCCCGGGCCCTGGAGAGGGGGAGTCCCTGCAGGCCTTGTCCCCAGTGGCTCTGTCATCTCTGGGTACAGGCCGGGACCGGCCCGCAGGGACACCCCAGAGGGCTCTCAGCCTCCCTGTTGCAGCCGAGGAAATCGAGGCCCAGAGAAAGGAGGGTCCTGGGGTCACAGGGCCGGGCAGGGAACCTAGGCCTTGCGGCTCCCAGTCCAGCCGCCTGGCCACAGGGGCGGCCCCACTGCAGCTGCTTGGAAGTCCTTCGACCCTCGGCCTGTTTCCCCACCTGGCAGCGGTCTGTCCTGGTCAGGCAGGCAGGCCTGTGGCGCTAGTACTGTGGTTCTGCTTGTGGCCCAGGGCTCCTGGGAGACTTGGCCGTGGCTCAGGAATGTGAGGGGGCTTCCTCAGACAGACGAAGGGGCAGCTGAAGTTGAAAATAGCCGGGCCAGGTGGGGCCCAGCCCGGTGCCCAGGGCCAGGCTCTTAAGGAGCCCGGGGAGCGGACAGACGCCCGCCTTCCTGGGTCGAAGTCCAGGGGCCCTGCAGGCAGATGGCCATGGTAGGTGGTGCTGCCAGCTACCACCTGCCTGGGGCTGAAGCCGGGGGGTGGGCTCTCAGGAACGCTCCTTGTCTGGGAGGAGCAGGGGCGCTTAGTGTCTTGTCTGCTGGGTCAGGGTGGGTGGGATGATGGAGCCCCTGTCCTGGATTCCCCAGCCACGACCCTGAAGCCACTGACCATGGGGTACCCCCGCCCAGGGCAAAGGCTGCTGGGAGGTGGGGTGGCTGAGAGGCGTGGAGGGCTGACTCTGGATGGGCAGGGGCAGCTGACCTCCAGCCGCCCCCCCCCCCCACCAGTGTGGGCCTGGTGCTGCCCACCCTGGCCTGAGCCTGGTAGGCGTGGATGTGGGTGGGCTGAGGCTGGGCGAGGCATGGCTGCCCTGGGGCTCACGGCCACCACCCTTGAGGCTCTGCCCGTGGGAGGTGAATCCCCACTCCCCAACCAACACAAACCAAACCCCGCCCTCCTGGGGGCAGCTGGTGCCCCTGCGGAGGGGGCAGCCGAGGAGTGGGGTCTGTTCTCTGCCCTGAGGAGCGAGGAGGTGGGTGGAGGGGGCAGCTGGCAGGGCTGCTGGGGGGAGCGGGGCTCTGGGAAGAAAGGGGCCTTTCAGAGCTGGCCTGCACCCCTTGTTCTCTCTCTGCCCTGCCCCCGTCCCCTGCCCCTCCCCCTTCTGGGGAGCCCTGGAGCTCACCGCATGTGTCACCCGTTTGGCCCAGGAGTTTGAGAATGCCGAGGGGGAAGAGTACGCGGCCGACTTCTCGGCACAGGGCTCCCCGGCAGCAGCGGCTCAGAACGGGCCCGACGTGTATGTCCTGCCACTCACCGAGGTCTCCCTGCCTATGGCCAAGCAGCCCGGGCGTTCAGGTGAGTGAGCCCCCAGGTGGGCCCAGGTGGTGGGCGTAGGGTGTGGCTCTGGGGTCAGTGCTCCCGGGGAGGGGAGGCAAGGGGCTGGTGTGTGTCCCCTTTTGCTGGGACCTGGGGCGCTGTGAGCAGGCTTGGGCCAGCTGGGGCCACTGTGCAAAGGGGGTGGGGGTTGCTCCCTCTGGTCCTGGCTGGGCACCCATGTGCTGGGAGGAGGGACTTCTCTGCGGTCCCTGGGATGCTGGACCCCATACATGGGCTCCGTGGTGCCCAGGAGCAGGGCCCACCCACTGGGGGGGAGGGGCTCTTTGGGGCTCCTTCTGTGGGTGGAGCCTTTTGCTCAGGACCCTGGGGTGGGGGAAGGAGGGGCCTGGGTCCCCCCAGCGCGTGCAGGTGCAGGCGGGGCCTCTTCCTGTGGCTTCCTTGCCATGTCTCCCACTCGCCCCATCCCGTGGTCCCCCCAGCAGGCTGGCAACCCACATGGCAGATGCAGGGCCCACACTCCAGAGGTTAAAGGTCAGTGGCCAACCTGGGCTTTGAACCCACATCTGCCTGATTCAGCACTGCAAGAATCCCCCAGTTGTGTCTGGAGGCTGGTGGGTGGGGTCCCTGGCCCCAGGCCCCCGGCCCCCTCCCTGGCAGCTCCTAGGTCAGGCCTGTGCCTACCCCCAGCTCCTCCAGGCTCACTGAGTAGGGTGTCAGGTCCAGGGGGGGTTCTGTTGGCACCAGGGCCTGTAATGGGTAGGCCTGCCCCACCTGCGTGTGTTCTGGGCTCTGCTGGTCCTGACCATGGTGCCGAAGCCCAGCCCTCACCATGGGCTGGGGGCCTCCAAGGTGCTGGCCTGGGCCCAGCACCCCCTGCACCATGACTGTCACTCCCCACCCCCCTGCAGGTGTCTCCTAGAGGAGACCTCACCAGTTAGGCAGGAATTTCAGGTCCCACTCTGTTGAGTGGCTCAAAGGTCCACCCCATAAAATCTTGGAAGGTGGGGTCTCTGCTATAGGAAGCCCCCCAACCTTCCTGGGTGACCATGGGAGTTTCTGAGCCTGTGCTGACAGTGCTGGACGCTAGGAGCTGTTGCGGAGCAAGGGGCCCCCCCAGGGGACACTGTACCCCTGGCCTGGGCCTGTCACCTGCCCCTGGCAGTGTGTGCCTGGGACCCCAAGGAATCTTCGAGACCCAGTGTCTTCCACCGCTTAAGGGACTGTCCCTGGGGATGTAGGGGGACAGGGATCCAGGAGGGGGCAGTGATTGCATGCTTTTTTCTAGTTTTTAGCTCTCTTCTGTTCTTTATAGGGTGCCCTGCTTCTGGGGAGGGGGAGAGATTTGGGTGATGCTGGGAGGGCAGCCCACCTGGAGGTCAAGGATTAAAAGCCTGGGCAGCAAGTACTACCCCTCTAAACCATGGGGGAAGATGGCCCAGCCTTCAGGCTCCCCAGCCTGGCTCTGTAGGTGCTGCCCCTTGGGTGCGGACCCCAGAACCCCGGGACCCGGCCTGCCATGCCTCCTGCAGCTGCCAGGAGACCTTTCCCGTTGGCTGGCAGTCAGCATGCTCCACCTCCATCACTGCCCCACTGTCAAGACTGCTGAGCCTGCTTGGGGAGACCCCAGGCTGGAGGTGGGGGGCAGCAGGCTGGACCTCAGGGGGAGGAGCCCCGGGACTCAGGGCCCCAGTGGGACCCCTTAACCCCAATTCTGCTCAGCATCAAGGTCAACATTCCATAGGGTCTCCAGTCCCTGGGAGCAGCCCCTCACCTTGAGTCTACTGGCTGCCAGGCTCAGCCTGTCCCCTGGGCCCTCTGGGCAGTTGGCGTGGGAGCAGAATTCGGGGAATCCCTTGGGGCACAGGCGGGGTGTGGGTGGGCTTAGCAGGTCTGGCCCTTCCTCTGGGGCCCTCACTGACCTTCCTGCCTGCTGACCTCACCCAGCCCAGCCTGCAGGAGAATGGGCCCAGTGTGTTCCGTACAGGGCTGTGCCAAGCAGCCCCCAACAAAGGAGCCTTTGGCGTGCCTGGCGCTGGAATGCCAGCCTGCGGCAGGGGTGAGGGGACGGGCCACTCAACTGCCCTCCTCCCCATGGCCTCCGCCCCAGCCACACTGCCTGCCCAGCGTTGCCTGTGCGCTGGTCCCGGCTCCAGGCCCTGCTGTTTCCAGCCTGGCTTGTCCCTGTAGCTTGGGGCACAGCCTTTCCAGACCCACTCAGAAAGATGCATGGATGCGGCTTGCAGATCCACAGCTCCCCTGGGCAGCAGGTGCCCTGCTCCTGATGGCCGCCCCCATCAGGAGGGAGCAGGGGGCTCTGGGTGGCTCCCCAGAACAGGCCATGCAGGCAGCCCCTCTAGGGGCCAGGCGAGAGAAGATGGGGCGATGATGGAGGCTGAGCTGGCGTCTCTGAGCCCCCTGCCCTGTTACAGTGCAGCTGTTCAAGTCCACAGATCTGGGCCGGCACAGCCTCCTGTACCTGGAGGAGATTGGCCACGGCTGGTTTGGGAAGGTGAGTTGCCGTCCCAGGGGTTGGTGGGGATGGGGGAGGGACTGGCGGCGTGGTCCGCTCTTTTGCCTGGCAGGTGGAGAGGGTGGGTTGGCGACTTGCTTCTCCTAGAAACTTCCCCAGCCCTGGGGTCCCCTCTCAAGGCGTACTCTACTGGGCCCCTCCCTGGGGACCTCAGGGTCCAGCAGCCTCTTCTCTGCAGATCCTGGTATCATGCTGGGAGATGCCTTTGAGTGGGCAGGGATGGGGAGCAGCATCTGGCTCCTGGCTTCTCCCTGACCGCCAGCCTGGGTGGGACAAGGAGTCCATCTTCCTCACTGCAGACCCCCAGAGCTCTGAGAACAGCTGGGGACCTTAGGGGAGGCAGACACAAAAGACGGAGTATTAAAGCCACGAGGGCTCGCTCTCCCAGGAGCGGTCCAGAGCCCATTTTGCAGATGACTACGTTGAGGCACAGAAACAGACGGCTTTGGCTGGAAGAGCAAGGCTGGGGGCAGAGCTTGGGGACGGTGGAGTCCGCCCACCTGGTGACGCCTGCCCCGCAGGTATTCCTCGGGGAGGTGAACTCGGGCATCAGTAGCACCCAGGTGGTGGTGAAGGAGCTGAAGGTGAGCGCCAGCGTGCAGGAGCAGATGCAGTTCCTGGAGGAGGCGCAGCCCTACAGGTGGGTGGCACCTGGGGACAGGCTTAGCCGGAGGAGGGGGTGGGCCACTGGCCGGGAGGTGGGGCTGTGGGCCCTGTAGACAAAGGCAAGCTCTGTGCCGCCCCGCTCCTGCCCGGCCCTGAGTGCGAGTCAGGGGGCAGCCTGTTGGCTCCCGCAGGGCCTTGCAGCACAGCAACCTGCTCCAGTGCCTGGCCCAGTGCGCCGAGGTGACGCCCTACCTGCTGGTGATGGAGTTCTGCCCGATGGTGAGTCGCCCGCTCCCTGGCCCTCCAGCCCCTGCCCTATGCTACTGGAAGGTGGGCCTGGCCTTCCTGCTGAGCCGGGGACCCCTCACCTCCACCCTCTGGGCCTCACATGCCCCCCAAAGTGGGGTCCAGGTGGCTCTGCACCACTACCTCCCAGAGGCGGCCTGGGGGAGGAAGGAGGTGGCCCCCGCTCAGAGACAGTGGCCGTCCGGGCTGGGATTCCACTGTACCCTGGGGGAGGGGGGCTCCCCCATCTGCCTGTGCTGCTCCGAGTCACGGAGGTTTTCCTGAGAGGCACCCCGGCCCGCTCGGGGGGCTCACGGCCCTTGCGTCGAGTCCACGGCCTCGCTCGTACTTTGCTCTTGGGCCCCCCGCCACACAAACACACACGGCTGAGCCGCGTGCCGACAGGGAGGCGGCCTCCACAGGTGTGGGCACCCCCACCATCTAGTTTCTGGACTCCTGGAGTAGCCTCCCAGGCTTCCCCAGGATGCCTGGGCCCTCCCTGGAGCTGAGCGGCGTCAGCAGGTCATCAGCAGGTCAAGGAGTTGCCGGAGGACACTCTGGCCACCGGCTCTGGGTTCCGCCCAGGCTCAGCGTCACTGCTCGTGTGGCCTGTCTGCCACCCACCAGCTGAGAGGTGGCGAGCATCTGGGCCCCAGGGGTCTGTATGCGGGATGTGACCCTGCTGGCCCGCAAGGCTGCCTGGGGCTGGGGCTGTCAGTGTGGGGAAAGTGTCTGCTGCCTGCGGGGTCATCCTACTGAGAGCTGGCCCCTGGGGGGCGGACACGGGCTTCTCTGGGCAGCGGCAGCCCTGTGGCAGCAGCAGGATGCCTGGTCCCCCCGTGGGCCCTGCTGAGGAGGGCGGGGCCGGGTGGTGGGCTTGCACGGGCACCCGCTCCCCACCAGCAGGTGACAGTGCTGCCCTTCTCGGCAGGGGGACCTCAAGGGCTACCTGCGGAGCTGTCGGGTGGCAGAGTCCATGGCGCCCGACCCTCTGACCCTGCAGCGCATGGCCTGTGAGGTGGCCTGTGGCGTCTTGCACCTGCATCGCCACAACTACGTGCACAGGTGAGGGCGCAGGCAGCCCACGGGCGCTCTGCAGGGCCTCCGCACCTGCTCCGGGGCCGCGTGAGGTGGATCCTCAGTTAACCGGGTTAGTCTTCGTTCAGCCTCTAGGGACCACTGTACAAAGGGATTTTGTCAAATAATAAACACCAGGCAGATGGGAGTTGAACACCTGCTTCTGCAGGAGGGTTAAGCCAGGCGACGTCCACTGTCCAGCTGGCCTGGCTGGGCATGCGGTAGGGCCTGAAGCCCATCCTCTGTCCCCAGGGTGGTCAGCGCTGCCTGGTGGCCCTACAGCGGCCCCTACTCTCCTCTGTCTCTCTCAGGCCCGGAGGGAGGGGTGGCTCTGTCCTGCTTCCCGCCCTGGCCCCTGAATTCGGAAAGACGGGCCAGGGCCCAGCGTAGGGGGACATGCCAGAAGAAGTGGCGATGGACGTGGCCCCACCAGCCCCGGACAGCACTCGGGCCGTCCTCCCCAACAATATCCTGGTGCTGAGTGATGACACATGCAACTCCAGCATCAGTGATTTTGTTGAAGAGGGCAGCTGCCAGCCTCCCGACCGGCCCGCCGAGCCCACCCAGCCCCAGGCGCCCATCTGTGGCCCCCAGCACAGCAGCATTTTGGCCGATGTGTGCTGACCCCGCGTTTGCCCCAGGGCCCTGGGCCCCAGACACCCGTGGGGCCACAAGGCAGGCAGGGGAGGAGCCGGCAGCCAAGGCCGGCCGTGGGTGGGAGGCAAAGGCGGGGGTGAGCGGCACTGCTGGGTGGGCACTCCACACCCCCACCCTGCCAGGGGCTGTGTGTGCACAGGGCAGGGGCAGGACCCTGGGGCACTCAGTCGCCTCACTGATGCCTGCCTTCAGGGAGCTGAGGGTGGCAGTGTGGCGGGCGGGAGGAGACTGCGGTGTCCCTGGGCTGGCTCGCCCCGAGGGACTGGTCAGCAGACTGGTATCCCAGGAGAAGCAGGGGAGTGGACTGGGGTCAGGGGATGGGGTTCCAGTGAGGCAGACCTCATCCAAGGAGAGCCCTTGGGCACCTTCTAGCTGGCCCTGGGCCTCGTTTTCCTTGTCTGCCTTCTAACATGTGTGGCCCCATCCACTCAGACCCTCAAAGTGTCCAGTGCTGGGTGAGGGGCAGGGCGGGCAGCCTCTGAGATGCCCCTTTCCACCCACCCACCGACCGAACCGAGCCCAGGATGCCCCCGACGACAAGCAGCCCAGTCCCCTCAGTGCCCTGGATGCCCCAGCCCGGCACTGCCGGCTGACCCCACCCTCCCACCCTCCCACCCTCAGTGACCTGGCTCTGAGGAACTGCCTGCTCACAGCCGACCTGACGGTGAAGATCGGCGACTATGGCTTGTCTCACGGCAAATACAGGGTGAGTGGGCCAGCTCGGGCCGGGGCAGGGCCGGCCGTACTTGCCCGCGGGGTAACACTGTCCCACGTGCTGACAGGAGGACTACTTTGTGACGGCTGACCAGCTGTGGGTGCCACTGCGCTGGATCGCGCCTGAGCTGGTGGACGAGGTGCACTGCAACCTGCTGGTGGTGGACCAGACCAAGGCCAGCAACGTGTGGTGAGTGTGGGCCCGGCAGTCGTCATGAGGACTTGGACCCCTGAGAGCCGACGACTTGATGCTCACCTGCGACTGTCAGCCCTCATGGCTGCCCTGTCCGGTGCCGAGTGAGTGTCCAGTGAGGACGCGGGGCGCTGGGGGGCTGAGTCCCACCCGCCTGCCGGCTCCCTGGTGTTGGAGGGGATGCAGGCTGGCCGCGCCAAGCAAGGCCACATGTGTGAGGACGTGTTTGTTTGTGTAGCCCTGTCGCTCTGTAGGAGGTGGCCAGATACACCCTCAGGTGAGGTCGTGGGGGTTCTGGAGCTACCTGTCGCTGCCCGGTGCCACGGCCCACAGCACTTGGGCTGGCAGAGCGGCAGGGCCCGTGGGGTCTGTGGAGGAAGCCCTGCCCCTCCCAGGGCCCGCTGGGCCGATGCCCGAAGACATCAGGGTCAGAGCACTCGGGCAAGTTGATGAGACGTGGGGCCTCGTGGTAGCACCTGTTCGCATTGAGAGGGGACAGTGGGGCTGGGTGTCTCCTGTGACTGCAGCCTGGAGGCTTGGGGCTGGGCACAGAGCGGGTGCTTGGACCCAGGACTACAGCCTCTAGAGGCTTGGCTGTGGTGGTCCCCTGTCCCCGGCCTTGACTAGCCTCTGCTTCCCCCTCCTGCTTCCTCCCAGCCTCCCAGGCCTGTCTGGCCTCCCTCTGCTCCTGATAAACCCTCAGGGCCTGGATCTAGGGCCCAGTCCCCCTTCCTGAGCTCTCTAGGGGTCTCCCCTGAGCCATTAACTGTACCCCCGTCACGGACACTCCATTCCCCCGCTCGCCTCTCCCTCTGGCTGACCCTCCCCTGCCTGCCCACCAGCCCACACTGACTGGGGTCCCTCCCCTAGACGGCTTTGGCCAGGCCCACTGTGACGTCTCTGTCGCCAAATCTGCTGTCCCTCATGCCCCCAGTTTCGTGGGACAGCCTGGGGTCCCCGGGAGCTGGGTGAAGCTGCCGCCCACTGGAAAGATCCCCGCTGCCTTCTCGCAGCCCCGCGTGCACTGGCTGCCTGGCCCGCTGGCTGGGGTGTCCCTAGACTCACCCCTCCCTCCGCCTCACACCCTAGCACACTCCCTCCCTCTGGCCTCCGCAGGTGCCTGGCAGGACTGGGAGCTTCTCCAGGGCATCTCCTGCACCTGGCAGTGTCTGCGCTTCAGCCCGGCATGGGAGTGAACGAGTGAACATGTTGATGGGGTTTGTGGGAGACCAGTCTGGCGTTTATTTGTCCAAGCACCTGGGCGTGGGCTCGGACCCGGCCAGGGGGCACATGCTGCCCATTTACTGAAGGAAGGCGCCGTCTTCTGGCTGCTGGTGTGATGACAGGAGCTGCCCTTGGCACCCAAGTCTTCGAGACCCTTTGGAGCCGTGCGTTGGCCAGCCGTGCCTGCCCTCTGATGGCTGTCACCCCCACAGGTCCCTGGGCGTGACCATCTGGGAGCTCTTCGAGCTGGGAGCGCAGCCCTATCCGCACCACTCCGACCGGCAGGTGCTGGCCTATGCGGTCCGGGAGCAGCAGCTCAAGCTGCCCAAGCCCCAGCTGCAGCTGACCCTCTCTGACCGCTGGTGAGGACCCTGTGAGGCCAGGCAGGGCTGGGGGTGTCCCCAGCAGGAAGGACGACACAAAGGGGGGTGCTTCGAGTCCCCAGAGCGTAAGTGGCTCCCTCTGGCTCCCCCCGGCCAGCAGTGACCTCTGGGCCCCACCCTGTGCCTACAGTGGAATGGCCGCTTTATCCAAAACACAAACTTGCCTGCAGCCCTGGCAGGGATGAGCTGAGGGAACAGTGCCCTGGTCCACTGCTGTCTCCCACACCACCGCGCCCACTTCAGGAGATGCCCGTAACTGCCCTCGGGATTCTGAGTGTGAGAAGGGGCGGAACTCAGACCCTCATGCTGAGGGCGGACTGGCTCACTCCCTGGGGGTTGGGGTCCTGGCCAGGCACTACCACCCGTGGGGGGGCAGGGACTGAGCCCCAGGGCATCCCTTCCCGCAGGTATGAGGTGATGCAGTTCTGCTGGCTTCAGCCTGAGCAGCGGCCGACGGCCGAGGAGGTGCACCTGCTGCTGTCCTACCTGTGTGCCAAGGGTGCCACCGAGGCAGAGGAGGAGTTTGAGCGGCGCTGGCGCTCACTGCGGCCTGGCGGGGGCGGCGCGGGCCCCGGGCTGGGGGCGGCAGGCCTGGCACTGGGGGGCATGGGCGAGCTTGCGGCCACCTCATCCTTCCCACTGCTGGAGCAGTTTGCTGGCGACAGCTTCCACACGGATGGTGACGACGTGCTGACGGTGACTGAGACGAGCCGTGGCCTCAACTTCGAGTACAAGTGGGAAGCCGGCCGCGGCTCCGATGCCTTCCCGCCACCTGAGGGCGCACTGAGCCCGGGCAGAGACGCGCGTCTGCAGGAGCTCTGCGTCCCTGATGGTGCTCCCCCAGGTGTGGTGCCGGTGCTCAGCGCTCACAGCCCCTCGGTGGGCAGCGAGTACTTCATCCGCCTGGAAGACCCCGCGCCTGCCGCAGGCCACGACCCCGACTGTGCTGGCTGTGCCCCCAGCACCCTCGCTGCCACCCTGTGCCCCGACGGCAGTGACCATGACGACGACTCTGACGGCAGCACGGCCGCCTCGCTGGTCATGGAGCCACTGCTGGGCCACGTGCCGACCGCTGATGGCCCCTGGGGCCACTGCGACTACCACCTATGCAGGAGTCATGCCCGTGACCTGCCTTGCACCTCACGCTCACCCTCGCCGGAGACCCCGATGCTGGCGGAGCCCAGAGCAGAGGATATTGACTGGGGCGTGGGGGCATTCTGCCCGCCCTTCTTTGAGGACCCGCTGGGCACATCCCCCTCCGCAAGCTCCGGGGCCCAACCATCCCCAGGTGGGGAAGAGCTGGGGGAGGCTGAGATGCCCAGGGCTGCCCAGCACAGACACTGGAGCTCCAATGTATCTGCAAACAACAACAGCAGCAGCCGAGCACCAGAATTCTGGGTCCCGGGCCTCTCAGGTTATACGGACTGCTGCCCTGGTGTGAAGCAGGCCCTACAGACCGTCCCTGAGCTGGGCCATCCTCTGATCCCAGAGGACCCCAGAGAGCCTCTCCTTGGGCCAAAGGGGGCCTCCTCTGGTAAGGAGATGGGCCGCTGCCTTGGCCTCCCCCATCTGTATCCTGCTGAGGGCCTGACACCTGCCCCGTGCCTGGTCACATCCCCGTGGACAGAGGCAGCCAGAAGTGGTGGTGACAGCCCCCAGGCAGAGCCCAGGCTTGCAGAGGAGGCCGAGGGCTCTGCTGGACTCCAGCTGCCCCTTCCCTCCATCCCATCCCCATCCCAAGAGGGAGCCCTGCTTCCTGCCGAGGAGGCCAGCACCCCGCCCACCCTGCCTGCTTCACCCACGCCCACTGGCAGCCCACAGCCTGCCACCGAGCCAGTCCAGGCCCTGGACAGCGACAGTGGCAGCAGCTCCCCTGAGCTGGAGGCACCAGGCAGTGAAGACGAAGACACGACTGAGGCCACTTCTGGTGTCTTCACTGACTTGTCCAGCGACGGCCCGCAGGCTGAGAAACTAGATGTGACACCAGCCTTCCGCTCCCTACAGAAGCAGGTGGGGACCCCCGACTCCTTGGACTCCCTGGACATCCCATCCTCAGCCAGTGATGGCGGCTCTGAGGTCTTCAGCCCATTAGCTGTTGGCACCCCTGGCGGGCAGCCCCGAGCCCTGGACAGCGGCTATGACACGGAGAACTATGAGTCCCCTGAGTTTGTACTCAAGGAGGCCCACGAGCCCTGTGAGCCTGAGGCCTTTGAGGAGCTGGCCTCAGAGGGTGAGAGCCCCGGGCCAGAGACTAGTCTCTCCGCCTCCCTGGGTGGCCTCAGCGAGAAGAATCCCTACCGCGACTCTGCTTACTTCTCAGACCTGGACACGGAGCCAGAGCCCCCCTTGGGCCCCAAGGAGAAGCAAGGAGGTGTCCCAGTCCCCGGGCCAGAGCCCGATCTGGAGAGCCCTAAGAGCCCCAGGCTGCCGTCTGCACTGCCCTCCCCTGAGTTGGGGATGCTTGGGGAGGCACAGGGCTCTGGCCCCAGGGAGGTGCCGCCACTTCCACTGCCTGAGGACTCTTCCCCAGAGCCAAGCGCCTGCCCCAGGGGCCCCAGGCTGGAGCCTCCCTGGCCCCAAGACCCAGCCCAGGTGCCACCCATGCCCAGCCCCGGGCGCTCTAAGATTTTCCTGCTGACTCCGGTCCGGACCAGCTCAGAAGGCCACCGCTCCGAGCTCCAGGAGACCCTGGGACTGCTGTCAGGGTCGGGCCTGCAGGAACGGACAGGGGGTCCAGGTGACCCCAGAACCCCACTCTGCCTGGCCCTGCCGGCAGTCCCCGCGGCTCCACAGGGGCGGCCAGAGGAGGAAGAGGACGACAGCGAAGACAGTGACGAGTCGGACGAGGAGCTCCGCTGCTACAGCATCCAGGAGCCGAGCGAGGAGAGCGAGGAGGAGGCGCCGCCTGTGCCAGTGGTGGTGGCGGAGAGCCAGAGTGCGCGCAACCTGCGCAGCCTGCTCAAGATGCCCAGCCTGCTGTCTGAGGCCTTCTGCGAGGACCTGGAGCGCAAGAAGAAAGCCGTGTCCTTCTTCGACAACGTCACCGTCTACCTCTTCGACCAGGTGGGCAGCCGCCCTGGGTGGGCTCTGCGTGGCGGAGTGGGGGTCTGCGGCGGGACGGGAAGCCATGGGAGACTCGTGCTGTTCTGATCCTCCAGGAAAGCCCCACCCGGGAGCTCGGGGAGCCCTTCCCTGGCGCCAAGGAGTCGTCCCCCACGTTCCCGGTGGGCAGCCCGGGCTCCCCCAGCACCCCCGGCCGGCCTCGGTGGGCTGACCGCTCCCCCGACGGCCCGGCGGCCGAAGAGGGTGAGCTGGAGGCGGGGTGATGCGGCGGCGAGGGTGGGGCAACGGGGGTGGGTGGAGCAACGGGGGTGGGTGGAGCAACGGGGGTGGGTGGGGCCCTCATGGAGGCGGGGCAACATGGCGGGGTGGGGGGGTGGACCTGTGACTTAGCTGGTGGGCGGGGCCTGGACGTGACTTCTTGCTCCGGGCGGGGCCTCCCCGATCCGGTCCACAATTGACGGCGGGCACCTCGCAGGCGGAGGGTTCGAGTGGGACGATGGCCTCCCGCCGACGCCGGCCCAGGAGCCTGCCCCGCGCGTCCCCGCTGCGCCCGCCAAGCCCAGCCCCTTCTCTCGCTTCACTGTCTCACCAGCGCCTGCATCCCGCTTCTCCATCACGCACGTCACCGACTCGGACTCCGGGTCCGTGGGAGGTGAGGCTGCGGTGGGGCTGGCGGGAGGGGATACCGAGTCAGGACAGTGGTGAGGGCGGCTGGGAAGGGCACCTGCTGGGCGCGAGGCCCTGCGCTCGTTATTTCTCATTTTCTGGACAAGCTCAGTTTTCAGACGGGGAAACTGAGGCTCAGAGAGGTCAGGTCACGCCAGGCCTGTTTGTTGTGGCCACCTTGGCACGTTTCCTCACCGCCCTGAGGAGATGCAGTGCCCCAGGCAAAGCTGGCTCAGCACTCTCGGGATGTAGGTTGGATGTCCACTTCCTGCCCCCCCCCCCCACACCGCCCCGCTCTTTTCTCCCTTCTCCGAAGGCACCAGGCTGGACACTGAGTACCCCCCACCCTGCTCTCTGACCTGCAGCAGCCTCTCCTGCCAGAACCTTCCCAGCCCCTGCTGGTCTGCCTCATCCACCAGCCCCCCATCTCAGATCTAATGGCTTGTCCAGAGATGGTGGTGGTGGCTCAGGTGCCCACGTGGGGCCCTACTCAGGGGCCTTAGCTCACTCCTCCCTCCAAGCTCCACTCCTGTCAACCTCAGACCAGGTGGGCTCATACCTGCCCAGTTGCCACCACCCCATTCTGCTAGGCTTCCCTGAAAGCTCACTTCCACTAAGATGCCCCTAGTTATCTTGTCCCCCAGGCAGACCCAGCCCCTCCCTTGCGGCCCTTGGCATGTGGCTGCAGCCTCTAGGGAAGGATGTGCTGGTCTGTTTGTGTCACACAGTGTGTCCTTAATGGATATCTGAACAAGCAGGCAGGTCACCAGGAGGCGAGTGTGTGACCCTGGTCCAGCCCAGTCCTGCTCGGGTCTGTTTTCCCACCTGTAAAAAGAGGACTCAGAGGGCTGACGTTGAGCTTTGTTGGGCCCGATCCCTGGTGATGTGGCGGGAAGGATAATCGTCTGGCTCCTACCTAGATAGGCAGGCAGGCCTGCTGCAGCCCCAGCTGCTCAGTGGCCCGTAAGCCAGGGATTGAGGCCAGGTGCAAGCCCTGGGCGAGGGGACTCTGGCTGTCCTTGGAGGGGAGGGTGCTCTCAGGAGTCCCTGTGGCCCCAGTGTCTCCCTAAACATGTTTGCCAGGTCCTACAGCAGGTGCTGGGGGCAGCTGTAAAGAGGCCTGAGCCCCAGGCAGCCCCTGCTCGGATCCCCTGCCGGTTCTCTTCCCGGCAGCAGCGAGGATGGTGACCAAGAGTGGTGGGGACTTTCATCCTGGCAGTGGTCAGCAGCAGCTTCCAAGCGCTTCAGTGCCCCATGCAGCACCCTGGAGGAGCAGGGCAGGCGCTGGACATAAGAGCATCTGTGCACACCAGCCCTGTGCTGCCCTGGGGCAGGATTTGTCCTGGACACTTGGGTTTGCTGCTAGGCCCTAGGGATGCCCTACAGCCGCCGCCCTTCACCCTGAAGCTGCCCCCTCCCCCCGGCCCCCGCTGTCAAGACTGCTTGGCCTCTGAGGCCAGGGGCCCTCGCACGCCCTGCCCACAGGTTCCTGTGGTGTATTACAGGCTGCTGTGTCCTCAGCCCAGGTGAGAGGGCAGGTACAGGCCTGCTAGGACGGCCTCTCCCTGCCCCCTTTGCCCCTTCTGCCGGTTCAGGGTTTGCTCAGTGCAAGAAGAGGACACCGGGCTCGTGTGTCCCTGCTCCAAGTCTGTGGCTGTTTCCCCTTCACTGAATCAGTTAGACCGTAAGCTCTCCCTCCCCACAGGGTCTGGGCCGGCTCCTGCCTGGGTCCCACTGGAGCCCTGCGAGGGGACTGAGGTGGGCAGCCCGAAAGATGGGGGGCTTTCAGGTTGCAGTCCTGCTGCTTCAGCCCCTGTCTAGAGGTGCCTGTGGCTCCCCTCTGCAAGGTAGGGCCCAGCCCGGCCCAGCTGCCAAAGGAAAGTGGCGGCTGCCCCCCACGGTCAGTGTCAGGGGGTTCCTACTGCAGGGCTGGAGACAGTGGGAAGGGGTGGAGCTGGGAGGGAGGGTGGGGCAGGGCAGCACAGGGGGTATTTTTGTAACGCTGTTGTCAGAACAGATGGAAGAGGGATGCTTTTAAGTTATTGTTGCCAAAGAGACATAAAATTTATTGTTGCTTTTGGGGTGGGGGTGGGGACTTGTTTTGAATTTGTTGTTTGTTTATTTGAGGCTTATGATGCTGGTACAATGATCGTCTTGTTCCTTTCTTGTCTGTTTTTTAAGAGAAATCAAAGCTAAGGAAAAAAGCCTTCATGCTAAGCGTGTTTTCTTTTGGAGTCTGCAGATAAAGCCTTGGGCAGGAGGGGGCATGGGCTGTGCTGGGGTGGGGTCCCTATAGTCCCTTCTGACCACTGGGGGATGCAGGAGGGAGACCACCCCTTCCTCTAGCTGTCCTTGGCACACCTTGGTGGAGGGACACAGTGACCTTGAGCCCCTAGGGTGCCCAGGTTGGGGTGTCTTCCCAGAACAGGGCCGGCGGACTGACGCCTGCAGCCCTCACTTCCTGCCTGGAAGCTGGCCCTACCTAGGTAAGGGTGAGAGGGAACCTCTCCCGGAAGCTCTTCCTCCTGCCTCTCCAGAGGCGGCCCCTGTCCCTCAGCACGGGGAGGCCGGGTGAGGGGGCGGTGAGCTGGGAGCAAGGTGGGTTGTGAGGAGGTGGGGCTTCTGTGCCCCTCCATCGCAAACATCTGCCCTGTGACCCTGCCTCGCCCCACCCGGCCTGCCTCCAGCTTCTGCAAGGTGAGAGCCTCTGGGGCCCCACCCCCTGTGCTTCGTGTTCTGGGCTGTGCGCAGAGCCCCTCCTGGGAGGGTCTGGGAGGAGCAAGCGAACGCTGCCCTGGAACTGAACGTCTCCTGAGGTAAGGACTGCTGTCACCAACGTGGTTATTAGCACGGCTGTATTTCAGCCTTAAATGTGAAACAGCATGGATCCGATAGTTTCTAAAATCTTATATTTCAGCTGAAATATGGAAACAGCCAGAGCATTGAGGGGGCCCACCCAGGAATCCTGGGGTAGGACCCCCCTCAATGGCACACAGCTTGGGGAGCCAGGCCACAGCACCGACCACCCTGGGGACAGGGAGGAGAGCTGGGGGCCCTGCAGCCAGTTCTGGATGGGAGTTAGGGTGTGGGCAGGGAGAAACTGGGACAGAGAGGCCCACAAAACTGCCAGTGGGAGGGGGGAGACCCAGCAAAGCCCCAATCAAGGGTCTGCCAGGAAGTTGTGCTCATACTAAATCCAAGGAAGGGAGGCAGGCCCTCACTCTCCCTTCCCCTCCCCCCTTCCCCCTCCCCCCCCCCCCTCCCCCCTTCCCCTCCCTTCGCCCCCCCTCCCTCCCTCCCCTTGCCCCTGCATTGCTGCTGCAGGCACGTACTACAGGTGGGCGGCCTCATTACTGACCAGACAGGGGCTCCCCTTACAGCTACAAGCTGATGCGATGGCCCTCCCTGCACCTTGGGGGCTCCCTGGCCCACACGACAGATGGGCCTGATCCAAAAGGTTGGCCGCCCAGCCCAGGCAGCAGGTCCCCGCTCCAGGGGCCAGCCCCCCTCACTCTCCTTGGCCACAGCCATGCCACCTCCTGACCCTGTAGGAACAGCCGGGGTCCAGCCCAGGCCAGATTGAGGTGGGGGCAGAAGGGCTTGGAAGGAGAGAATTCTCTAAATGGGGAGCAAGCAGATTGTAACAAAACAGGTTACAGGTCAGGGTGTGGGAGGAGGAGCCCCACGGGCAGTGGGTGCAGATGTGGCCGTCAGCTGAGGAGTGGGGCAGACCTGTCATTGGTCACCGTCGGCTTCAGCTGGACGCTGGCGAAGGGATTCCTGAGAAGAGGAGAGAAGAGTGGTTTGAGTGGTTTTCGGGAGGGGTGCTGAGTGCCGCCCTGTGGCTACAGACGGCACCCACCTGGACCCCGATGGCCCAGCCTCTGAGCTCAGGGCCCGGGGGTGGCAGAGGCCGCGGGGGAGAGCCAGAAAGGGGCGCTGTCCGCAAGGCCAGCTGAGCCCCTGCGCGCCACCCTCTGCTCACCCCCCCAGGTGCCCCACCTCGAACCGTCAACCCTCCCAAAGGCAGGGTGGGTGGGCATGGTGGGGGGCCCCGCCACATCAGCCCCGGTCCTTTCTCTGCAACCTGAGGCAGCCCCACATGAGCCGCACCCGAGCTCAGTGCGCCGCCCCCCAAGGCCAAGCACCCCCGCCCCCGCCACCTGCCCGAGAGCAGCAGCTGAGCCCGTCTGCAAGGACACAGCTGTTGACACATAGAGCCACAGCTCAGCAGAGCGCACAAGCCCAGCCCACGCATCCTGGGGGCCCAGAGAGTGGCCCATCCCATGCTGACACGACAGACACGAGGCGCAGGCACCCCAGCGACAACGGGGCTGGAAGGAGTGGACGCCCGCAGCCCCTGCGGAGGGGCTGACCGCCTCCTCAGAGAGAAGCCGTGCCTGCCCCTGCGTGCCGAGGCTGCGGCTGACAGACAGACGGACGCACCAGACAAGGGGCTGAGATGGAACGAGATGAGTGCAGGGTGGGGCTGGCACCTGGCCTCGTGCTCACGGAGGCCTCTCCTCCTCGGCGGGCTCCGAGGACCTGCCCAGGTGGAGGCAGCACAGGAGAGCAGGCCGGGGGACGTCAGGCAGTCTCAAGGGTGACAGCACGGATGGCACGTGGGACACAGAGGGCTCGGCCTGAACGGGAGCCGTTACCTGGGGCGGGAGTGGCCTCTGACGTGGCTGGGCGTCCACAGGAGCTGGGTGGGTGCTCTGTCCAGGTGCCCAGGAAGATAGAACGTGGGGTGGGCAACCCTGTGTTTGCCTGAGGACCTGGCATTTTCTAAAACACTGAGGCACTTTGAACAACTGAGTCCAAAGGATGAACTAGTGAGAGGAGACTGATGGAGCACTGTGTGGCTTCTGCATCTCCAAGATGCTGCCTGACAGTTGGCAGCACCTGCAGCCGTTCCACCCCTGCCTCGGAACATCTGCACCTGATGAAAGGCCCTTCCAGCTGGCGGGGCCTCAGTCTCCCTCATTCAGGTCCTCTCTGGCCTCCCAGGCTTGGGTCTGAGCAGATGTGCTTCGGCCCCACTGGCCCCAGGCAGGGGCAGCCTGGAGGTTCTGAAACCGAGGTTCTGCTGTGACCAGCGTCATCTGCCCTGGGACGGAGGATGCAGGGCAGCCATGGGGGCGGCCGCCTTGACTGGACTCTTGTCCTAGAGGAGGGCTCCATGCCCTTGGCGGTCTGCAGCCAGGGTCATGGCGGGGGGTCTTGTGGGGCTGGAAACGGGGCAGGTTTGTCCATCCAGAGTCGGGGACCCAGCAGGGGAAGGGACCCAGAGAAGGGAGGATGGCACCTGTGCTGACCAGAGCCAGGGGCAAAAGGGAGTTCCAGCCGGGTGTGTCCTGACGCACCTACATTCTCTTCAGAAAGGGTCAGTGACCAGCCACGTGTAAATCAACGAAGTTACAACACACCCTCAAACCATATACAAAAACTCAAAATGGCTTATAGACTTAAATATAAGACATGACACGGTAAAACTCCTGGAAGAAAACATAGGCAAAACGTTCTCTGACATAAATCGTACCAGTGTTTTTCTTAGGTCAGTCTCCCAAGGCAATAAAAACAAAAGCAAAAATAAACAAATGGGACCTAATCAAACTTACAAGCTTTTGCACAGCAAAGGAAACCGTAAACAAACAAAAAGACGACCTACAGATTGGGAGAAAATATTTGCAAATGAAGCAACTGACAAGGACTTAATTTCCAAAACATACAAACAGCTCATACCTCTCAACAACAAAAAACCAAACAACCCAATCGAAAAATGGGCAGAAGACCTAACTAGACATTTGTCCAAAGAAGACATACAGGTGGCCAACATGCACATGAAAAGATGTTCAACATTGCTAATTATTAGAGAAATACAAATCAAAACTACAATGAGGTACCACCTCACACTGGTCAGGATGGCCATCATTAAGAAGTCTACAAATTACAAATGCTGGAGAGGGTGTGGAGAAAAGGGAACCTCCCTACACTGTTGGTGGGAGATTGGTGCAGGCACTATGGAAAACAGTCTGGAGGTTCCCCCCAAAACTAGAGTTGCCATGTGATCCAGATGAAACTAATTCAAAAAGATACACGCACCCCTATGTTCACAGCAGCACTATTCACAATAGCCAAGACATGGAAACAACCTAAATGTCCACTGACAGATAAATGAATAAAGATGTGGTATATACACAATGGAATATTACTCAGCCATAAAAAAGAATGAAATAATGCCATTTGCAGCAACATGAATAGACCTAGAGATTCTCATACTAAGTGAAGAATGACAAATAGCACATGGTATCACATACATAAAATCTAAAAAAATTATATAAATGAACTTATCTACAAAACAGACTCACAGACAGAGAAAACAGACTTGTGGTTGCCAAGGAGGAAGAGGGGTGGGGAGGGGTGGATTGGGAGTTTGGGATTAGCAAATGAAAACTATTATATATAGAATGGGTAAACAACAAGGTCCTACCGTATAGCACAGGGAATTATATTCAGTGTATCCTGTGATAAACCGTAATGGAAAAGAATATAAAAAAGAATATATATGGGTATAACTGAATCACTTTGCTACATGGCAGAAGTTAACATAACATTGTAAATCAGCTATACTTCAATTAATTAAAAAAAAAAGGGTCAGTGGCAAACCCACACTGCCACCTGAACCAGGAAGACCTCCCTGAAGAGGGTGTCTGGCCTCTGACCCACACCATCCCCCAAAACAGTGTGACCATGGAAGAAGCATGTGCTGTCCACACTGCGGGTTCTGAGGAAGGAGGTGGCAGCTGTAGTGGAACGACTCCCTCCTGCAGCCCCGGCCAGAGACCCCTGGGTGGGACACTCCCACCCTTCAGCATCAGAGGAAGTGTGAGGCCCCCTTAGGTGCTCACCACCTTCTGGGATGTTCTGTGAAAGAAGAGGCTTAAGAGCTACCCCCGGGGAGGGCACCTGAGTGACCCCAGGTGAGGGACTTGGGTCAACACTGGGATGACAAAACATGACAAGATTTGGACCTGAGGCACTGCCGATCCTGCTGTCCTGCAGACGTCCGTCACTGCCCAGGGGTGGACACCGGGGCGAATCAACAGCAGACCACCCACACACAGAACAAGCTCTTCTTGACCCAAATGGGAGACGCTGGAGTATGCGAGGGTCAGTGCTGTCAGGACGCCAGGGCCCCTCCCC